TTAGGTTTGAGTTTTTCTCAAACGGGTTTAAACGGTTTGTTTTGAAAATCTGTCATAAATCGGTAAAATCGAACCGCTTACACCCCTAACATATGTCCTTCAGCCTACTTTGTCTAGAACATAAGGTGACAACGTTTCAATTTATTTAAGGTTTGCCTCTAATCTAGGACATCCAGGTGTGACGCCTATTAGGTTTGATCCATGAGTTGCTAGGATGAGATCAAGTGTCAAACTCACGCATCCAACAATAACCATATATTTCCTTCCACTACAAAAGCTTATACTTGGATGTCATCCAAATTTTACGACCTCAACAATAAGATTGCTTGAGTAACATTTTTCAACCCGGACCTAAGCTATCTTGCTCTCGTTAATTGCCCATCCCATACCTAAACACTACTTTATTGATTGTTGACTGATTTGATTATTGGAGTGTTCTAGATCGCTTCTCCATCGTTGGAGAAGACAACGTACATCTAACGTTTGTCCAAATGTACAGGAACTTAACAAGTAGACGTGAGTGAAGTCGAAATCTGTTGATTACGTATTCTTGTCGATTTTCGAGGTCAACAAAAATTAGTAATACAAAGTGCAAAATTTTGTAATTCTTCATCCATTTTACGTGTAGACTAGTATACTTTTTCTTCTCTGTTACATGTTGGAAGTTGAAATAACACAACATTTTTCTAAACGAATAAAAAGAACATTGTCAAATGATTAATAGTAAGTCTTATGTTTTTTTTTTGGACAACCGTCGATGTCCGGGACAACTTGCCCGCACCTCGACTAATTCCACGGGCCATGAAGTTTACGGTCGGGTACTCACCTCAGTGACTTTGAGGGGACTCGAACTAGTGACCATTGGAGAGCAAACCTAAGGTCTGACCAATTGAGTAACCCCTCAGGGTTTACAGTAAGCCCATGTTTGGGCCAACTAAAAATTAGATTTTTAATAAATTTTAATAAAATTGATAAATGTATGGATGAAGAGTTGATAAAAATTGTTGGTAGCATAAAACACGTGATTAGAATTAATTATTGACATTAACATAAATTTTTATTAGTATTTTTAGCTAAACCAAACATGAGCTAAGTTTAAGTTGTAATATTAAAAAAATTATATACATTATAACATAATTGAACAGAGTATAAGTTACCATTACTGTATTTTTTTTTTTACATAAAATGTAATACGATTAAAAATATAGTATAATGTGCACGAAAAATTTTATGTTTCAAATACAGAAATTGTTACAAAATGATTTTTTGTAAAATCAAGGGTTACTTAGCCCATAACATTCATACATTTTACTATGGCAAATTAGGCCCAATACCCTAAACTATTAACTAAATTGATTAATACCCTAATAACTAATTAAATAATTTAAAAACGTGTTAAACGTTATAAAACCTCCAAACTCCATCCTCCCCAAAAGCCCCAATATATTTTTTTCACCAGATTATCAAATCAAAGAATTAGGAGGCACCATATTATAATCAAATTCTGCACACTCTGTATCTCATTTCTGTCCACTAATGACGAGAAAGTGAAGAAGATATTCAAGAGAAAAATGTACGCAATCGTCAAGATTTCTAGGACAAAAAAGTGTCAAGCATTTCGTCTTCAACATGTGAACACTGCCATGCCTTCCAACAACACCAATAAAGTGCTCTTCAACCTCTCTCCTTTTCTCATAGTCACATAAATGGTACTATCGAGAGGTTCGTGGACACACCTAATGTCTTGCGGTCATCGGAAGACCCAACCACTAGCATTTGATGTGATTTCAACATTCCTTCCGGACATTACCCTCTTTAATCCATACGGTTTAGTCTTAGTTTTTTTTTTCCCAAATTTTTTGATAATTTCAGATCAGAAGTTCAATTGTTTTCATGTGCGATCGGAGTTCGTGTCTAGTTTATAGATATGAGTTGTCGACTACTAGTAATAACTATGGTAATAGCAATAGTGACCCAAGTGAAGTGCATAGAGGATTAAACTAGTTGGGATGAGGCTGTTGGATTGACTATATGGTGTTTGCTTGCTGGTAGGTTTGCTGTGGGGCCAAGTTTCGGGAGGAAGAAGGGATAGGGAAAAGCAATAGCCAGTGGTTTATACTGAGATGGATGGTGGGCTTAATAATAATGGCGTTCCATAAATTTGTTCACTCTATTGATTATAGAATTGTTATATATTAGATGTGAGCTTTAAATATAGATCATCATTAGCTCTTTAGTTAGACTATTTGTGTAATGCGTTGGATAATCACTTTTTCAGATTACTAATTTGATGAAATACCATGTTGTAAAGGAATCATAATGCGACATGGTTCCATTTA